TTTTTTTTAGATTAAACATTTTTAATCTAATTAATTACATGATGTGGCGATTAATTAATCAAATTAATTGCAAATTAAATTTGGCTGTGAAAATATCCCCAAAAGATAATTTAAAGCCATTATTGTGTTAAATGAGTAAAGTATCAAGCAGACATTACAACAAGTAGCTTTAGAAAGAAATATTATGTTTTTTGATTGAACACATATTACACAAACATTTAGGCTATAATGGCCTAACATAAACTATGGAACATAAACAAAGATAATTTGAGAAACATCTCAGTATTTTTTGTTCATACAATGACAGTCATTGGTAACCAAACTCAGCTTGTTTTTGTTCTTGTTTTTCTTTTGGTTACCAACATTCTTCATTATTTTCTTGTATGTTCCATAAACAACATGGGGGTGAGTAAATGATGACAGAATTTTGCTTTTTGGGTGAACTATCACTTTATGATACTCTAAATAATAAACTAAAACTGCCAGTAGGTGGAGGTAAATGTCTTTATGAGAAAGTCATTGAGTCATTCATTCATTCGAACTGCTGATTCATTCAGGAATGAAGTAAACAGCTCTCTTTATGAAAGGTTCATTGAATCATTTGTTCACTTGATTCGTTCAAAACGCGGATTCATTCAGAAACGAATCAACGCTGAATTTCTTTTGAAACGCACAACAGTTCTGCTGTGGCTTTATTGGCATAGGCGGATATCACGGGGGGGTAGGGGGGGACAGGACCCCCTATCTGAGGGTCGTCCCCCCCTAAAAATATTATTAAAATACATGCTGTGCATTGTAAATAACAATGCTTTATTCTTTAAATAATTGTGTAAGTAGTAAAACAACACAAACGGGGCAAAAATGCGTTTTAAGTTTAGAAACATTTTGAGTCTCCTCGCTTGCCTCACAGTGCTTTGGTCCAAATGCCTGCTTTCCTCTTTTACATCACCTACACACACACACAAGTCCGATGAGAGAGAACAAAGTCAATAGTTGTGGAACTGCAGTAAGTAAGGCTGTCAAGTAGGGCTGTCGCGATAACCGCAATATCGCAATACCGCGCTATTGACGAGCAAACCACAGAGGAATGCAAGAACCACAGCAACCGCAATTTTTGTGTGTTTTATTTTTTCGTAAGGTCATTCCCTTCTCGTTTTATACTTCATGCATGTGGACTGAATATTAAACAAGTTAGTAATGATAACATAATGTGTACCATGCTGATTTGTACAGAGGCTCCGTAGATTTGCACTTAACGAGCCTAAACAGACAGTAAATGAGAGAGAGATCGACTGAGCGCGTGTGATTACTTGCGTCTGTCCTCCAGGCCGAGTCATTGCTTGTCAGATTTTCCTAACAAGCAACAATAGTTTTTTAAAATAAGCCCTAAAATAAATCCTTTTCCATCTCACCAATCCTATTATGATAGCACATTAATGATAATAAATAATCATATATATATATATATATATATATATATATATATATATATATATATATATACACACACAAAATATAT